AAGGGCCAGGTATTTGTGGGTCGAGGCAAGGTGGAAGATATCCAAGGGTATGCAGCTGGGGTGCTGTGTGGAGAGAGCTTTAGAAGGCCCAGTGTTGAGTGTTCAACTGTCCATGGAGGTTGACAAGCAGGATGCTGGGCAGGAGTGAGCACTGGCAGGTTGTGCTGCAGGAAAGCAGCATGGGCTGGCTGCCCCTGCAGGGTTGTTGTCAGCTTAGCACCCTCCTTTTATCCTGCAGGATGTTGGCCAGGGCCTGGCTCCCCCAGCATGGTTGCTATTCATTCATAACCTTGGAAATCCTGCAGCATCTTAATGAGTGTCTGGCTGCCCACACAAGGGAGGAGAGAGCTCAGAACCCCCAGGAGCTCTCACAGGACACTGGGTATGGTTTGGCTCCCCCAGCAGGGATTCTGGGTTCTCCTGTTCCTCTGGAAGAGCTGATGCCAGAGATGGCTCTTCAGTCCGTCTGGACCTGCGCTGTCTGTTTGCATTGAATCAGCAACTTCACTGGGCTCCTCACTTGTCAGATGCTCTACGTGCTGAGGAGGAGCTGGAGATGCAAGAGCAGACGCCATCACCCACAGTCTTGCCTTGCATGGTCTTTGCAAACAGACCACAGCCCAGAGCCCTCAGGGAATCCATCCTGTAACTCCCCTGACATTTCCCCACTAAGTCCAGCAGGTGGGGGAGTCTGAAGTTTCCCCACCGTGGGACTCTGAACCTCCCCCTTCCGGTAGCTGCTTGCCCTCAGGTTCTTCCTTCATCGGCTCCAGGTTCTCCAGCCAGGACCTATGAACCTGAGCCTAAATCTCCAGGGTGCTTATGGGTTTCAGCTAGATTTCAGCCCTGGGAGGGATCCTGCACCAGGGATTGGGAGGCAAATAGGTAAAATGCTCTCCCTGGCCATCTCCAACTCCCTGGACACAGGACATCTCCCGGGAGTAAAGAGACACACCTGGAGGGTGGATACACCTCGGGCAGGAGGAGCTGCCCAGTCCTTGGGCTCCCACTTGCTGCCTAGTCCTGGGTGTGACCATGACCCACACCCCTGGGAGGGCCAGCTCCTCCCCACATAAGCACACACACATCTTGCTCACACAGGCACACACACAGGGTTGTAGTGCTGGCCAGGGGGAGTGACAGTGGTGGCCTTGCCTGACTAGTCCCAGGGCTACCCTGGTACCTCTGAAGCACTGCTGGCTATTGGCCTTCCAACTCTACACAGGCTCTAATGTGTTTAAAGAAAGGCTGACACGGGTTTTGGCGGCCTTTCCTGGGCCACTGCCTGGGGACCTGAGCACACAACAAAACATGCTGACAGCTCCAGGTTCTCCAGGCCAGTGATCGAGGTTGGGTCTGTGTTGAGAATGTGGTTGCCTGGTTGCCAGGGTTCTGAGTTCTGTGGGGGACAATCCCAGAGAGGTGAGGCCACTTCCTATGATTCCTTTTATCCTCAGACAAAACCTCCCACAAGGGTGCTTGGACTGCTTTTTGTTCCCCCTTATTCCCAGTACAGTCCATATCAGTTGACACCAACACAGCTCCCCCATCCCTGGGATGGCCAGGTGCAGCAAGGCCCCCAGTTGGAGATACAGGGAGCTGGCTACAGAGCTGGCCCCTCCTTCTTCCCATGGAGGAAACCCTGGAGCAGCTTGTGCCTCCAGACTCCTGTCTCCCATGGGCCCCATGGGGCGGTCTAGCACCTCTCCTTAGAGAGGTTACTAGGGGTGTGCTGTCCCTGGAGGGGAGGTCAGTGTGCTCAGGGGCCTCAGGTTCATACTGACTTGGAGGGCTCCATGCAGGGGAGGTCACCTGCACACACTTCACACAGGCCTGACTGGCCCTGCTGCAGGCAGTCAGTATCCTTGTCTGTGTGTCTGTCCTCTGGGAGGGTGGGAACCAACTGATCTCAAGCCTACTGCCCTCTGGCTGCACCCTGGAGGGGTTTGTCTGGGCCTGAATCAGGTGCCAGGACCACAGACAGTGCATGTGTGATGGCCCAGTGAGGTCTCAGAGCTCCCACCTTGTTCACAGGACCTAGTGACCCTGCCCTGGAAGGGGCTGGACTTGGGACTGGGTTCTAAATGAGACAGTTAACATGCTTTCTACCCCCTCTCACACAGAGGTCTATGGGCAACTCAGGATTTCCCCACACACATTTCTCTATCTAATCTTCTGACTGCTCACCAATTTTTGGTTCACAAACAAGCTTTTGTACAGAGACTTCAAGGAGAAATTTGAAAACAATCTGACAACAGCTCAATAAGCGGCAGTTTTAATAAACAAGAGGACCTACAACAATTGTCTAGAATAACCACGGGAAAGTAGAGCTCTGTGTCTAGCAGTCAGAATCTTACATTTATTTAAATGCCTCCATCAGGTTCAGTTACATGTGCAGTCCAGATGGTCTCGACAGCACACTATTATCTCAAGACAGTGTCATGTGGCAGTTTCTAGTGCAGACAAGGCAAGTGAATTGTACATTTTAAGGAAATTTTATATTTTGGAAAATCCTACACCTCCATCCTTCACCCAGTCAAAGCGGAATCCCAGGCCTGTTCACACTCTCTGCCTGGGACGTCACTGTGGTCCAGGTGTACCTTGTATGGTCCCGGTCTGGTAAATAATAAAGCTCTGCTTTTTCAAAATTTCTCAGTGCCTATTGGTGAAGGGCATTTTGCATTCTTAACAAGGACCAGCCAGCTGCAGTATCAGCCATCAACTGGCTGAGACTGACACAAAACACATAGTTTAACTATTTCTCTCTTGAAGAGAATTTTGGTTGTTCCTAGTTTTGGATTATTACAAATAAAGTTGCAATGAAGCATAAATGCTCAGAAATATGATTATTGGGTCATGTGGCAAGTATGTGTTCATTTTTTTCAAGAAAATGCTGAACTATTTTCCCGAGGGACTATACCTTCTTAGAGTCTATGAGATCAGTTTCTCTGCATTGTCACCAACATTTTGCATATCAGTATTTTATATTTTGATTGTCTTATATGTGCGTGCTAGTATTCGTAGGAATGTGATGTATCAGCATGTTTGTTTTGTTTTTTTTTTTTGCATAGAAAAGCTGGGGTGTAGGCCAGTGGTGCAGGTGAGAGGGTTCACCAGAGACAGAGTGGGGCGTGGAACAGGTGGATTTACTGAAATACACTGCTGAGGGGAACAGCAGGCAAGACAGAAGAGGTCTGCTGCGCCATATGTGGGTTAGCTCCCTGGCCAGGAATAGAACTCAGGCTGTAGCAGTGGTAGTGGTGATAGCGCTGAGACTTAACCTGTAGGCCACCAGGAAGACCTCTGTGGACTTCTAGTGAGTCCTGGACCTGGGACGCGTGGTGAAGGAAATCAGACATGGGGGACTTACATGTCCAGCATGCAGTGAATCTTTATTTTCTTAGTGCCCATTATATACTGTTTCAGAGTGAATTAAGCATAACGTCAAAGCATATCACACAATGACATCTTAAGTGATTAATTATTCTGCTTTGCTACTGATAACTGTTTACTCCCAGCTTCTGGACTTCAGGTGGTCAAGTTTTATACACAATCTTATTGCCCCCCTATCTAGAGCATGGGAATCTCGCTCATTATTTCTTGTTATTCTAAGACTGTAGAGACTTAGAGGCCTGACTCCACGCAGGTCACATTCCGGGCACTAAACACCAGACCCGGTCACTCAGAGGTTTTCCTCCAAGACGCATGTGTTTTCACAGACCTTTGGGACTCAGGATAAGGCCCTTCGGCTCGCTGTGCAGGGTCTCTCCCAACAGACCTTTATCAGCATGTTCCTAATTTGCATTTCCTTACTGGGTAGTGATGTTGAACATCATTCAGAATGCATATTGCCATCAGCATATGTTTTTCAGTAAAATGTCTCTTCAAGTCTTCTGCCTAAAATTAGGTATTTTGAGAGAATTTTGAGAGTATTTTGCAGAATTTTGAGAGTTGGTCTATATTCCAAATACATGTCCTTTGTGACATTTGGGAGCATGCAACATTTTCTCTCTGTGTACTTTATCATTTCAGTCTCTTAGGATATTTTGCCAAACAAAAGTTTCAAATTTTATAAAGTTTGTAAATTTGACATTGATGTATTTCTTTTATGAATTATATATTTGGTGTCATGACTAAGAACTCTTCACTAAGTCATAGGTCCCAAAGATTTCCTCCTCTAAAATTTTTATATTTTACATTGAAATTTACAATCTATTTTGAGTGAATTTTGGTGTAAAATATGAGGATTGAACTGTTTTCTTTCTTTTCTTTCTATGTTTTCTTTTTTGCTTATTTTTCTTTTTTGCTTATGGGTAGCCATTCGCTCCAGCATCACTGTTTGAAAAGACTATTTATTCTCCATCCACTTGCTTTGCACCTTGTCAAAGTAAGAGATATTTATCTGTTTCTCAATTCTCTACCTGTTCCATCAATCTATGTGTCCATCTCTCCACAACACCAGTTTTGATTACTACAGCTATATAAAAGTATTACATTTAACTAGAGTGATTCCTCAACTTTATTTTTTTTGTGGGACCCTCGCCGGTGGCAGGGGAATGAACCGGCACTGCAGAGTCTGCGGGCAGCCTGGCAGCCTCGCAGCCCAGCGCTAAACCGCTGCGCCACCAGGGGAGGTCCCCTCCTCAACTTTATTTTTAACAAATTTTCTTTAATGAAGCAAATGTCATCTCTAGATTATTTCAGTCACTCTGTCCAAGAGCTAATTTGGGCCAATTTCTTTCCATTTCAGCTGTTGTGATCATCAGCGTGCCCCTTGTGACAAGAAAACACAGCTTGGTAGATATAGCAATTTTTGAAAATTATTCTAGGCATCTGCAAAGTGAGGATTTTAAGGAAAACAACACCAGAGTGTCCTTGGTGTCTTTCCAGAAAAAAAGAAACAAAGTTTATTGGGAAACCATAAAACGGAACACTGTGAGAGGAGGTTAGACAGTCTCAGAAAGCAGGAGAGATGCCCTGAGCAGCAGTAAAGCAGGGTTTTTATGGTTTTTTTTTTAATTTCTTAATTACACATACCTTGCTCCCATTACTCCCCCAGACACTCAGACTAAATGGAACTACTCCCTCCCTTCCACTTTTCAAGTGAGTAAACTACAGGTAAAAAGACTCTTCACAGAAATTCAATTGTGTTCCTCTGGGGGTATGTGTGAGGGCCCTTTTCTATTCTGAACAGATGGTAGGGATTAGTCTAATGAGGCTGAGCCCTTAATCTGTGTGACCTGACCTATCTCCAGTTAGATAGTGTTAAAATGAAGCTGAATTATAAGACTTCCAGAAAATGCCCACATGTTAGAACTGGTGCTTAGAATCTTTAATAACTACCCACAGAAAATCCACAGAAGCAAGGAAATACCCTTGATTCACATGTGGTCAAAATTCAGGGATATAAATGAAAACTATTACTGTCTTATGATATAATCCTTCATTTTTCTCTACTTCCTGTCCTTGTAGCTGCATAAAGCAGATGATTTCATGTTTAGTTGAGGAAAATAATGCAACATAAAGAGATAGTGGCAGAAGGTGAGTTCATTTGCATAAGAGGGCATAGGGTTCAATACAAAGGGAACTGGGCAAGAATGATTATGAGATATTTCAATCAATAGCACTGGAGACTTCCAGGTCAAGGGCAGAGTTGAGGGTGGGCATTTTCTGCGAGGTCACTGAACCAGAAGCAGACCAGATCCTGAGAAGGGACTCTCTCTGTGGAATAAAAGCCAGCAGGAGGACTTTTCATGCTGCGAAGATGATACTGGGGCAGAGGCTATTCCTTGAGGGTCACTACTTGGGCATCAGCTCAGTAGTCCTGCAAAAGAAAGGAGAGTTTTGTTTCCACACCTACTCTACCAGCAGCTTCCTTTCCTCTCTCATGGCCTCAGGTTATAACACTGCAGTAAGAAAGAGGAAATTCTTTTGTCACCTTGAACCAAAGTTATTTTGCAGTGCAGGCTTAATTAATTAAATAGCAAGAAGAAACTTGAGTGGAAACTGGCCAGGTCAATAGTTAGATCCAAAGTCTTTCCCATTATTTCTGTCTTGTCACTTTCTACCATCAATTCTATGGAAATTGAATATGTCTCTAAAAGAGCATTAAAAAGCATTACCTGTCGGCTGAAGTCCAGAGTATCCCGGGAAAGAGAAGGGATGATATATACTTAAAAGAATTAGAAACAAGTCTGTCCCCACATACAATGCTCCCAGGCCCTGACCAACAACCTGAGATTTTTCTAACATTACAACCCCCATCACATAATGACAGGCCAGAGAAGAAAGTATAAACTGAAAGCAAGGGACCCATGATGTGTCTATATAAATTCACTATATTTTCATCAGCCTTAGAAATACTTCCCACAAATTTGTATTTGTCCGATGAGGTCTCTGTGAATGCTAATCCTTTCCCTGCTTCTATAGGTCATAACCTCTTATGTTTAAACATGTTAATCATGACCTGTTGATTTCTGAATTTTCAGGAAATTTGAGGTCAGTTGAGGAAAAACAGGCCTGCTAGTGTACAGAAAATTAAACTGAGTAAGTCATCCTTTTCTCCCACAACTCTAAGAGGACTCTCAGCTATGACTAGGCTCCTTACCTTTGGGATTCCTGAAGTGGATGAACAGCCCCACCCCAAGGAAGAGAAGACCCAGAACAAAGGCCCCAGCTCCACTCAGCATCTTGCTCCGTGCAGATTCAGACTGTGCCCCTGAGGAAAGAAGCTAGTTTTAGTGATTTTTGCCCCATATCCAACTTTTCTAATACACATTTGAGATTGAGAGCTCTGAGAAAAGGTGATAACTGCCTTCAAAGGACTGGAATAAATGAACTTTTCTGGAAAAGAGATTTAAAAATCACACTGCATAGCACAAGGTTCAAGCATTGAACTCATTTAACTATCACAGCCTTGATGTAGGCAGCACTTCAACATCTGATGAATGAGGAACCTGAGATTCAATGAAGTTGAATAGCTTGTTAAGGGGGACAGAGCCAATAAAAGACTATACAACTTCCCTTATATTAGGAATGTCCCTACATTATGAAAGAGGCTTCTCTTCTCAGATCACAAAGAACCACCCAGAAGCAATCATTCTAGAAGTACAGGTCCAGCCAAGGCAAGATTAGTGTCCAGGGCAAACAGGTGACCAGGATCTGTGACATCACGGGAATATAAACTTTTCTGCTTGTCAGGCTTAACTAACTGCCTCCACTGGGAGGACAGGTATTTGCAGAAATTATCACAGGGTTACACCCAAAAACCTGTGCTGAAGGAGAAAAGAAGTCAGAAAAAATGAAAATATGGTGTGGGCACAGGAGAAACCTGAGACTCAAGGATAAGCCAAATCCCCGCCAAGGTGGATAACGAATTTTTCAGATCAAAAAGACTCTCACTCCACTCCACTGTGATAGGGCTGGTCAGGCTTGGGTGCTCCACGTGGCAGGTGTAGACCTCTCCACTCTGAGGAACAGTTTCAAGAATCACCAGGGTCTGGAAGGTCCAGTCTCCATTCTGGATCGGGCCTGTGGAGACGATCCCAGCCGTCTCCTCCTGGCCATTCCGGAGCCACCTGACTTCAATGTGGCCTGGATAGAACCCATTCACAGAGCAGACCAGGAGGCTGTGGTGCTGCAGGGATGGGTTCTTTGAAGGATACACAGTCACTGTGGGCTCAACTAGGAGAGAAATGTGGAGGAAATAAGTGAGAATGATGAAATAAGAAGGCTTCGTTGGTGCCTTTCTGCCCCCAGGCACTAGTCTCAGGTCCTGTCTCAGGGTCTCAGGTGGCCCTCCCTCAAAGCTGACCATATGGCCCAATAGAAATTAATTCCAAGAGGCTTAACTTTAACCTTAGAGCAGGGCCCACGGGATTTGACAGATGCTGAGGAAATGCTGTAAGTTTTTTTCGTAGCATGAAACAGTGAGTCATTGTTGAATTTGAGTGTTTATAAACCATTGTAAAGCATTGGGTGCATTAATCAATAGCATGATTCTTGTATCCAGGCTGCGTGGGTTCAAATCCACATTGTCTCTTACTGATGGATCCTGGGAGAGATTTTAAATTCTTCTGTGCCTCAGTTTTCTTCTTTATGAAGGGAAATGTAAAAAGGAACTCAGGATTAGTATATATAAGTTCTTAAGATTATATGAGAATTATGTGGACCTAAAATATATAAAACTTAGGCCAGAACTTAGTCTTCTATATAAGTGAACTATTTATTGCCCTTGTTAACTGGGAAAGAAAATACGATTTAAAGCAGTGGGATGAGCTGAGGAAAAGCAGCAGGATACACAGGTATGCAAAGTGTGAAATCTTGGGAATGCTATACTCCAACTTTACAATGCCACAGAAATGGTTTTACCCTGGGAAGCTTTAGTAGACAAAAGTGAGTCTTATACTCTATGAGTTGAATGACAAGAACAACATGAATCCATCATCCTGAAAGGATGATGGTAGTCACTATTGGCAAGAGTATAGTGAAAAAGGAACACTCAGCCACTATTGGTGAGGATGTAAACTGGTGTGGAGAGTCCTCAAATAATTAAAAATGGAATTATCACAAGACACAATAATACCACCTCTAGGTATTTACCCAAAGAATATGAAAATAATGTAAAAGATAAATGCACTCTTATGATCATTGCAGCATTATCCACCATAGCCAAGACAGAGAATCAACCTAAATGCCCTTTGACAGACAACTGGTTAAAGAAATTGCGGGAAATACATTTAATGGATTACTCATATATTTAAAAGATGAAATAGTGACTTTTGGGACAAAATGGATAGTTCATTAAGTGATTATGCTAAGTGAAATAAGTCAGAAAGTGAAAAGCAATTACTGATGGCTTCTCTCATCTGTAGAATGTAAATAACCAAAGAAAACAAACCGGCAAAACACAACAAAAGTAACTGTCAGACTCTGTGAAAACTATGGGTGGGAGGAAGGAGGATGCAGAGGGGTAAGCTGATGGTGTACTGGCCCTAGAGCTTTGATGGAAAGCAAGTGAACACATGTTGAATATGAAACTATATACTCCCAAACTTACATAGTTTTGTAAATAAATGACAAATAAAAAAATTGATGCAAAAACTAAAATATTATGATACATTCTACAGTTCAATACCTCTCCTTTGCAAAACAAGCATCTCTATTATTGGAGTTGTGAAAATTTTACAACTGTTTCTCTTTTCAAGCTGACATTTGAGTCAGGGTAGGATATGGGACCCCTTAATATGTGTGATTAGTGCCCAAGGCAATCCCTGACATTACCATGGTCAAAAACTATGATTTTAGAAAAGGAATGAAAACCCTGAGGGAAAAACAATTTTACTATATGACAATGGTAGATTTAAGATTGGTGGTAAATTATGATAGCAATTTTGCATTATATTCCATTTAATAAAAAATGTTTACATTTCTATAATAATAAATAGAATAAAAAAAGACACAGGTTAGACAAAGTGCTGAATCACCACAGTCCTCGCAGTCTCTGTCTCACAGTCCCTCTCTCTCTCTCTCTCTCTCTCTCTCACACACACACACACACACACACACACACACACACACACACACACACACACCGCCGGCAGCCCACAGGCCTTGCTCACCTCGCCGCTGCACTGCGAAGCTCTCAAAGACCCCATAGTTGTGTCTGCAGTACGCGTCAACCGCGGCCCGCGTCTGCTCCAGGAACTCCTTTCCGTTCCAGTACTTGGCGCTCGGCCGCCCCACCGGGGTGACCGCGCGGTACTCCCCCACGTCGCTGTCGAAGCGCACGTACTCCTCCTGGTTGTAGAAGTATCTGTCCAGAAACCGCACCCGCTGCGTCCCGTTGGAGAAATGACACTCGGATGTAGTGATGAATAAGTAATGCGCTGTGGAGCAGAAATAAGCAGGTTCCGGGTCGCCTCCCGGAAGGAGACTGAGGAGGCGCCACCAACGAAAGGGTTGGGTTTCCTCCGGTACTGGACCCCTGGCTGGCTCCACCCACACCCCCACTACCTGTACCCCAGGGGTTCGCCCTTCATCTGCTTGGCCAGGGAGGCCACCCCTGCGGGGGAGGAAATCCCTCCAGCGTGAGCCTCGGGATCTCACCAGTGTCCGCGCCGCTCCCGACTGCAGGAGCAGCTGGGCAAGACCCCACCTCCTCCCCACTCCTCCTGCAGGCGCCCCCACCGACTCTGCTCCCACCCGGGGCCCGGGGCCCCCTGAAAGAAGCCCCCTCATCCCGTAAACACATGGTTAGGGCTGACCTCGGGCCGGGCTTGTGCTGCCCGCTGCCAGTCCAGAGGAGAGAAAAACATGCACGTCTCCTCCCCTGGCGGAGCTCAAAGTTCAGTGCAAGTGATGACAAAACCCAGCACACATGTGGGGGTGAGAAATGTCCATAGAAAGGTCTCAATTTCAGTAATAGAATAAACGTGTGATAACTCATCTTAACGTGTCAGAGAACTGGTCCCTAAGGGAGACACTCAAGATGTGACCTGGTAGTCAGTGGATGTGAGCTAGAGGAAGGTAAGTGTGTGTACATTGGGGAAGAGAAGGAAGAAGGCATGTTTCAGGTAAAGGTCATACCCCGAGGAAACACTTGATAGACCTGACGACCTTCAGTAAACCAGAACAAAACAGTCCGCTGAAGCAGAGTGAGGGAAAAAGAAGGAAAAATGAGGCAGAGAAATCCCAAGGTCCAGGTATTTAAAAGTTTTAGGTGATGGTAGAGGGTTGACTTTATAGATATGTAATGGGAAACCAGTGACAACTTTAAGGAGATTAAATCCATAATCCCAATACAGGCTATAATTCCTTTTCTGCATTTCTGAATCCAGAAAGTTTAGAAATCAGATTTTTAAAAATCAGATTTTTAAAATTTATTCAGCAAATCTGACCTAAAGAATCACAAGTCTCAGAGCTCTTGTAAGTTTTATGTGCCTCTGTGTTTTCAATGTATGCAAATATAACATTTATACATGTATTTACATATACATGTCATATAAATATAAATTCATATTTTATATTTTTGTTTTATTAAACTGTGAAAGTATAAAAAGAGTTAAAGAATAACTCTGTTTAAAAGTGAGATGAATAAATGGATGTATCTGATATCAATAGTGTAGAAAGTAGAATTAAGGCAGAAATTTGAAGTATTTCATTGAAAAATGCTTGTGGCAGTCATCACCACTGATAATTTATAAAGGAGAATTAAAGTAACAAAGATGTGGTGGCCAAGAGCTCATGAAAATTTTAAAAACATTACATAAGGCAAAAAATAAAAATGAGTATTTTGAACTTGAGTTGATTATATTCAATAAGAAAGTGGTAAATCTGTACAACTGTACAGTTTTTTTTTTTTGTCATGAAACAAGGTAAAATAAACCATGAATATCTGAATTAGAGAGTTTATATACAAAGTGTGAGTCTAGAATTTTTACAAGCAATAGTGTAAACCACTGTTTCAGCCTCAAAACTTTGGCATTTTGGACCAGATAAATCTTTGTGGTTGGCAGTGAGGTGGGGAGGGAGAAGGGCTGTTCTTGCTATTGGAAGATGTCTGTCTACCAGTATCCCTGGCCTCTACCCACTGTATGTCAGAAGAAACCTCCATTGTAACGACCAAAAATGACTCCAGATACTGCCAAATGTTCTAGGAGTCAGGGACTGGGGAAAGGAGTGGTGAATTGTCACTGAGTGAACTCTGCTGATCTGAAAAATCTGTAGCAACAACAACAAAAAATCACTAATAATTGTGCAGCAGCTGAACATTAAAATTTTAAAACATTAAAATTTTTGTCAAGGTATCTTTTGAAAATCTTGGTCTTACATGAGGTTTGTATTTTTTAGGAATATGTTAGGTTCCAGCAGAGAACTAAATTGGTTTGCCTTGCCAACCAATTACCAAATCATCATTTATCTTTCATATTATCTCCTTTCTTTTTTAAAAAAAAAGATTTGTTTATAAGCCAGAGGTGTGAGGGTGAGAGGATTCACCAGAGAGAGTGGGGAGCAGAACAGGCAGATGTACTGAAATACACTGCTGAGGAGAGCAGTGGGCAAGACAGAAGAGGTCTGCTGCACCATGTGGGTTTCTCCCTGGCCAGCCAGGGATCAAACTTGTGCTGCAATTGCTGGTGATGGCTTGATATTGCTGTCTTTAACCCCTGCGCCACCAGGGAGACTCTCATCTCCTTTCTTAATTTCTTTGCTACTGGTCCACTACACACAGAGACATTTTATTTTATTCCTATTCAATGTCCCAAGCAGTTGATTTTCAAACTTTGTCTCCTATTCCCAGTAATACCACTAGTCATCAAATTATCAGTCTTGGCCAGATGAAGACCTCTCATTCCTGTAGTCAAATCCCCTTAGAAAGGAAGAAACTAAGAAAATGTTATTTTCATAAACACATTTTACAAAAAATGAGTGGGTTCCCAGACTTCTCAGTAGAGACCTCCAATTAGAAATGATGGCATAGAGAAGTGCACTCTGGATCAGACCAGTTCTATTTCATAGTCACAAGTTCTCTAAGTACATTCTTGACACATGGGATAGTTAAAAAATTAACATGTGTGAAGTTATTCTTCAATGTGGCTTGTATAATTAGCACTTTTTATGCAGTTAATTAATTAACACCAGTTAGTTCTTGTCCATGTGCCCAACTTAATGTTCCCAGATTTAGCAAATAAAAATATAGGATGCCCAGTTAATCTGGATTTTGTTCATTTAATTCAGGCTTAATTGGACATCCTGTGTTTTATTCGGCAACCCTAGCAGAACTTGCTAATACAATCTTGGACTAAAGTAATATTTAAGATCTTCTTTAATACATTTTTTTGTTTTATTTCATTTTATATATTTTTACATCATTTTTCATTTTTGCACAATGTATGCATTTTCATCTTGGTTATAGTCCCCATACAATTTCCCCCCTCTTATTTTGACCCTAATCCCTCTCCACCACCATATTGTGTCTTTGGTTTATAGTTGCTTGTTGATTTTGATTTTTACTTTATTATAATTAGTCTTTTTCCTGGTCCCTTATTTAGGTTTTCTAAATTCCTGCTATGAGCGAGACCATGCAGTATTTTTCTTTTTCTTTCTGGCTTATTTTGCTGAGCATGATCCCTTCCAGTTCCATCCATGTTGCTGCAAATTGCATGAGTTTATCTTTTTTGATTGCTGAGTAATATTCCATTGTGTATATGTACCACATCTTCTTGATCCAGTCATCTATTTTTGGGCTTTTTTTTGCATTAATCAATACATGCCCATAATAATCAACACAAGGTGAAGCCACATGAAAACTTTTCAAATAATAAATACAAAATGAGCATTTCCCTTATTTATTGAAACTGTTGGTCCTTACATCCCTCCCAACCATAATACACACACTGTTACTTGAACATCAGAAACATTAGCAATAATTCAGACTCAGTTAAAACACTAATTGCTAATGGTGGTTAGAAATTCAAGCTCTAGAGTCAGAAAATCTGAATTTAAACACTAGTTCTTTCCATTTGGGTGAGTTGCTAATGCCTATGAATCTTATTTTTCTCTAAAATGAATTTACCGATGGCATATTTCTCACAGAATTACTATTGTGTGAAAATTTAATCTTCCTAGTGCTGATCATGTAATAAGTACTCAATACATATATTATCATTTTTAGTGTTTATAACTCCTGTGAATGTAAGCTCACAAGATCTTTCATTCCTTAACTACTAAAAGTAAATAATATCTGGGCCTCCCCTGGTGGAGCAGGCGCTTGATTGCCATGCTTGCTGTGAAGCTGTCCACAGCCTCTGCAGCACTGATTTCAACCCAGCCAGCCAGGGTGGGTCCCACATGGTGTGGCAGACCATTCCTGTCACTCCTGCTACTCCCCTAGCAGTGTATTTCGTCAGTCTGCGTGTTCTGTTCCCCGCTCTGTCTCTGGTGAATCCTCTCACCCTCCTGCATGTCTGGCCTGTACCCTGGTTCTTATATAAATAAAGATTTGGGGGAAAAAAAGTAAATAATATCTTCTTCATGATGTGGAAATTGTCTTTTGTTAATTTTATCACTAATTATCATTTCAAACACATTAGGGCAGAAACATTACTGCACAATAATGGAGCATACATGAACCTACCACAAAAGGAACATGCTGACATAGACTGTATACTCAGATTTGGACCACAAAACCTAGATGTAAGCACTAAATATATGACACTAGGTAAGTTACTTAACTCTTCAAATTTTACATTCCATAGATATACATGTTTTTATGTGATAAGATAGCTATGGGAATTGCATACTGAAATTTGGAGGCCTAGTATAGAGTAACTACAGATTAATATGACTCTTCATGCTGATAGAGAGCTCATGTGTTTTGGTCATCACTCCATCCTGATCACCTAGGGCAATAACTGGTGTGTTCCAGATCACTGAAAAACATTGACTATATATAATAAATTGGTAGCTTTTTTTAATAAGCTGTAACCTCTACACACAAGGGCTCTCTAGTGCTTCCTTGCTGATGATTGAACATCCCTTCTCAATTCTTCCCAACTTCTCTTCAGGCTCATTTATTCTTATACTTTAAATCCAGCTGATGTCCCCATCCCAGGGAACAGTCTTACCCTGGTGTCAGCTGCTCCAAAGAGTCGTCTGTAATCTATCCTTCACTTTTGCAGCTCCTGTTCTCTCTTCAAGTCGTCCAATCCAGGGCCTCCCCGGTGGTACAAGGGCTAAAACACAATCTCTGAAACTGTCTGCAGCCACTGCAGCACGAGTTTGATGCCCGGCCAGGGAGCTACCCACATGGCACAGCAGACCAATCCTGACTCGCCCGCTGCTCCCCTCAGCAGTGTATTTCACAATCTGCCTGTTCTGTTCCCCA